AAAGGAACTTGTCTGCGGCAGGGGAACCTGTCTTGATCGACATTTTCTTCTGAGTGACAGCAGTTCGTCTGCAGCAGGGAAACCTGTCTTGATCAGCGTTCTGCTATCAACTTTAGGTAGAGAGGAGATGCCTGCAGCAGGGAAACCTGTCTTGATCAGAGTTCTCCCTCGATCTTTGAAGGGTATATCTGCGGCAGAGCAATTTGTCTTGATCAGATTTTTTTTCGAAGATTAATTAAGAGCATTTTGTCTGCGGCAGGGAAACCTGTCTTGATCAGCGTTTTGTTCTCAACTTAAGAGAGAGAAGAGTTCATCTGCGGCGGGGTAACTGTCTTGCTCAGTGTTCTCTTCCAAAAGTAAGGAGTTCGTCTTCTTCGTCCTTTGAAGAGTTTGCTTGCGACAGGGAGACTTGTTTTGATCAAGTGCGCTCCTCAAGGACTTATATGAAAAGAAAGGGGTTGCGACATGAATTATTACTTGGTTAAGATGTGATATTGAGTAAAAATATATACTTTAAGATCATTCAGACTTTATCCGAACAGCTTCCAGAAGGTTAGTATGTCTCGAGAGACCCGTCAGGGGGTTAATCCTGTCTTTTTCGAATAAATTATAGTATCAACCAAATGGATGTAGCTTGAAACTAGTCAGAGGATTTCTGGTACCACTCTAAGAAAATAAAAATTCCTTGAGTGGTTGTCTATGGAAGAAGGTTTCGGCTTAGCTCCAAGCGGATTATGGAATTGTTGTGTATTGTGATCATTTTATAAAGCTCTGACCTCTATTTTGATGGCGAACGACAGGGACGTCGTTCAATGGGGTCTGGGAATGTTGTCGGGGCAAATACCCTGACAAGGGTATTTGCCGGGGGTTTTCAACGCCGAACGCTGTCCGAGTTTTTTTAAGCTTAATTGCAAAACTTGATGAGATTGATGTTTGTCAAAAGTTTATTCAGACCAACCCTATAATTGAGATACATAAAATCTGACGTCGTTGACGTATGACGTCATTGGCGTTCGATCGAAACTGCGGGAGTCAGCGGTACGACTTGTCGTCCGCGGTTCCCGATAAGGTCGCAATGGTGTGCGGTCATGGAAGGACGAAAGCTAGACCTAATCTACGTAAAATAATACCGCGCGACAGCTAAACAGCGGGATTCAGAGTCCAAGAAGGCTAAAAAGAAGGATGCGCCAGATATAGAGCCGCTTCGCAGAGGGAATAGGTATAAGGGGTTTTATTTCTTGAACCGCGAGGTCTGCTCCGAGCGAAGAGGCAATGCCGTATCTAGAGCCTTAAAAGGCTAGCCGCGGCGCCATCAAGGTTAGTCATCCAATGAATGGGCGGCAGCGTGAGTACGGCGGGACCAGGAGGCCGTCGTGCCGACAGCGGTGCAGCTGACTTTGAAAAGGGAGGCCGACGAGACCTGCCTATGGTTAAGGTTGGGTAGCCTGCTGGGAAGCTACCCAGGTAGCAGGCTTAGTTTCCGTAAAAAGGAGCTAGCCCAATAGGTTACCGTGCCAAATTTTCACCCAGCAGATGATGGGATCGAGCCGGCGATAAGCAGTCTGGGCTAGCTCCTTTTCTTTTGGAGCTGCCCACTGCACCAGCATGAAGCGCGGCCATTCTCGGCCGCGAGATCATCAAATCTCACGGCCAGGAACAGCTGCGTGGCTGTAGCATAGCCCCTGCGCAAGGATGACACGCATAAATAAAGAAAACGGCCCAGAATTTTTTCAATTCCCCTAAGGGAATAGAACCTGGGTCTATAAATCGGTGGGGCAGGGGGGAACGCCTGCCAGGCTGGCGTAGTCTACAGTGGTCGTTGGCTTATGCGAACGGTAATCCAAAAAAAAAAAAAAAAAAAAAAAACCCAATGGAGAGATAGGTGTCATTGCTGAAGCAAGGGCCACCACTCCAGAGGCTGCACAAGGCAAACAATGCCTCTGCTGTCGAAGAAAACAGTCTCTTTAGACGGTGTGGGAACACGATAGCTCCCACCTTATGGTGCCACATAAAAAGGAAAAAGAAGGGAGGATGAGAGAGAGGACCTGCTCCTCCCGGCCTGCCAACTGCCTCCCCGTTGTCGGGGAGGTAAGAAGCAAAAGAAAAGAAAAAAAAAGAAAAAAAAAAAAAAAAAAAAAACGAAAAACAGGATCTGAGTTTTTTTAGAAACGTTGTATTTTTTGGTTTGCGCCACTATTTCTTTGGTGGCGTAAAACAATTTTGTTGGCCTTGAAGTTTTTTCTGTCGGTAGTCAGGCATCTAGGCCATGTGCATGAATTGGTTAACATTTTTTTATTTATCAAATATTTTTCTAAAATTCATCAAAGTCGGGGTACTTTTTGCACCCCGTTCCGAGCCTGTCGGGATTTAAACTCGTGAATTTTCACGAGTTTTTTCCCTACTCCTCCTAACGTGACAACTGTCCTCCCCGTTTTCAGGGGAGGGCAGCAGAGGGAAGGAGTAGGCTGTTGACAAATAGCTGCATGCTCCTGGCTCAAATCACGGCCAGGAGCATTGCAGTTAAGGAGGTTGGGGTTTTTCTTTTATTTTCTTCTTTTTTCTTTTCTTTTTTTTATTTTCTGTGAGGACATTTGTCCTCACGTGGTGCTACCTCTGGCAGGGGCTGCCAGAGGTAACTGTCAGGCAACTGTTTTTGAAGGGAGCCTGGAAATTGAAGGGGCACTAAGGAAAAGGCTAGGTAAAGCCTTTTCCTTGTTGTACCTGCCCTGGGAAAAGGGTCCAGATACATCAGCCTTTCCCTTTTTGTATCTCAGAGTCTCCAACCCCTTATCAGAAAAATAAAAGAAAAAAGGTTTTGGAAATGGCAGGAACCCAGCAATCGTGAGATTCCGAGATGGCTGGGGAAAAAAATAAAAATAAAAAAATAGGGCAGTTAAAGAAACTGTCCCACACTAAGGCTGTGGCTGTGGTGGGACCACAGTCAACCTTGGATCCTGGCAGATCAAGTGCTCGTTGTGAGCCCGCGATTTTGCCTGGGGGATGGAGTGACGACCAACCCTCCTCAGGCCCTATAAAACACCCAGCTGTCCCCAGCTGCCACACAAAGCATTCGTGCTGTCATTGCGTGACGTGCACTTGAGTGCTGTTGGGCTGCTGAGTTGCTGCCTGAGGCAAGGAGGAGAAGCTGGAGATCTGCACAGGAGCGAGAAGAGGACGACTAGGCAGCCATAGCAAAGGCAGGGAGCACTCTGCTCCTCTCCTCTGGCTGGTGCTGGTCCCACGGGACAGACCCAGTGGTACTGCGGGACTGCGGCAGTGCGGCACTGTGAGATTTGGTCCTGGGGCCCAAATTTTACCAATTTTGGCTTGCCATTTTCTTATTGTGGTGGGGAAATGCTGCCGAAATTTTACAGCGGCAATCCTGGTTTTTACTGTGGTGGTACTGAAGTGCAGTCGAATTTCTGCAGCGACGGCACAGGTTTTTTCTGCGGTGGTACTGAAGTGCTGCCGAACTTTTGCGGCGGCGGTGCAGGTTTTTACGGCGGTGGTGCAGAAGCGCCGCCGGATTTTTACGGCAGCAACTCCGGTTTTAACGGCGGTAGTGCGGAAGCGCTACCGGATTTTTGCGGCGCGACTCTGGTTTTACGGCGGCGGTGCGGAAGCGCTGCCGGATTTTTGCGGCAGCAACTCCGATATTAACGGCGGCAGTGCGGAAGCACTGCCGGATTTTTGTGGCCGCGGTTCTGTTTTTTTTTACGGTGGTGCGGAAGCACCGCCGGATTTTCCTGCGATAGTACCGGAATTTTGCAGCGACGACACTAATTTCACGATGGTAACGAAAGTATTTTTGCACTGAGTGGAGGTGGGACGTTGACACAGAGGAGGTGCGTCAAAGCGGTGTTTCATTTTGAAGTGGCGTGAGCGTGACGCCGCGGAGAGGCAGTGCTTTGGAGCCAAGTGGCGGTAACGAGAAAACGCCGCCAAATTATTGGAAGGTGATAGGTGTTGAGAGGGTACTCTGGCAAGCGGTCGTCAAAGGGACTGGTGTCGATCACTTTACTGACGACAGGGTGCAACGACCTTCTCGTCAAAAGGTCGAAAAATTTATACGGTCTTCTTGAGTGTACCGTTCAAACTTCTCTCAAGGTCAGTTGAATGACTCAGACTTTCTTTCACTTCTGTGTGGACCCGCACTTGCTTGACCCTGTTCGTTTTGAATATTCTAAAGAAAAGGTAGAGGAAAGTTGTGCAAGTCATGCAAGTGAATGGAAAGTCTGACTCGAGCATGAGATTGTATTGTTTTATTTTGGACGTGTTTCCTTTGCGGTCTGTGCAGGTAGATAGAGGGATGCTTACAAAGGAGATTAATTATGCCTATTTGAGATGAAGAAATGAATTGTCTTCTTTCTACCTTTCACCTGCCTGCTTGTCAAAAAGAACTTGTTGTTTTGAAAAAAAACATGTTATTCAATGTGTGTCGTAAAATGGATTCTATTGAAATAAAGCAGATAAGGTCAAACAGATTTAGCTTTTTTCCAAGGATTGACCTATTATATCGCGAACGACCTTATCTACCTGTACCTGTCCAAATTATTATCATTTTCTTTATCTCTTCTGATTTTTTTTCATCTAAGTTACCCCGGGACTTAGGAGAAAAAAATATATATATATGAGGGCTACTTGCGGTAGACGCATCCACTATCTCAGGGAAACATCTGGGGCAGGGGTTCGTTGCTTCAGGAGCCGACCCTGTTATCGACCCAGAGTGGACCGTTCTACGGGGGGGCACTTGCCGATTCGGTGGAGACGGCCCGACTTCGGAGATCCGAGTCTAGCGCTCGGACGAGGAGGAGGAGAACCCCAGACCACTTCCTAGAGGAAGAGGCATGCTTCATGTCAAGCAATGTCCCTGATCAAGAATCATGGGCCGGTTTGTCATCCAAAAAAATTGGAAATGGACGAAGACAGGTATGCTCGTCGAATCTCAGATCGGCGATAGGATGGAATGAATGACTTTGCAACACGTCTCATCAAGTCAAAACTGAGGTTGTCTAACTACCATGTTGGCGACATCAATGTTATTTTCGATTAACCAACTTTTCGTTGACAGTTGTTTTGATTGTTTTGTGATATTCGACCTGAGGCGGTCCGATAGTTTTTTATCTTGTGTTATTGAATGTATGAAATGATGATTGATATTTTTTTTCAGTAATCTTTTCATACTGGGAATATTTATTCGTGTCGGCTACGGTCGATTCCTTTTGATAAAATTATATGTATGGTTGTCGTAACTTTCGTTTGACAGTAGGTTTAAGAGACTAGGATTAATGAAGGGTTTCACACTTGGTTGAGACAGTCCTAGTCGACCGACGTTCGCTTCGTACCTTGGAGATCAGCGCCCTGGGGGACGAACGGCGTTGGGTCCACTTGGCGTTAACTAAGCGACTCCTATACTGTAGCGAAACGAGCAAACGCCCTCAGTTGGCCTACCTATGCGATTGCATCTAAAAACTTTCGCATGTGGGTCAGTAGCTCGGTAGGGATACGCCCCTTAGGGTGGTGACAGCCCCTTAGGGAAGCAAGCTTATGCCGCGCGAAAACCTGTTCTGTCATAGGGGACCGCGGGATGTATAGCTGGCGCACCCGGCTAGAGCGGCGAAGGAGCGATGCAACTGCGCCTGTCTCGGCGGTTCGCGAAACATTATGCGTCATTCCTGAGTTGTCTCCTAATGATGTTTTTAGATAAACCTTTGCGTGATATGGTCGGGAGGGCCCTCGTTTTCGTGCGAGGGCCGATGCGCTCGACAGCGTCGCCTGTGGGAGCGATATTCATTCCCTTTTTTTTTGGGATAGTAAGGGGCTCTCTCCAGTACTCTCCAAATATGGAGGTGTACCTTTCCATGTTCCAAGGAAAGATTCATTTTCATTTTTCACATTTCATTCTTAGTGGTGCGAGAACCCAAGGCAGCCTCATTGCTGTTGACATGCATAAAAGACAAAATGTATCCTGCTGAATCTTTTTTTTTTTTTTTTTYTGATTTGGACCATTTCTCTACTTATGCATCGTATCCTTTCTCAAGCCCATGCTACTCTTCTCTGTATCAGGCCATCTTTCAGTGCCAAGTTCATTCCGGTTTTTTCCTTTTTTGAGTAGTAAGGGCCAGATCCCACTTGCAAAGAGGATTGTAAACAGTGTCTGAACGTGGACGTGTTCCACACAGATATGCAGAGATGTAGACCAATCATAAATTATCGCACCTGCCCAAAAACACGCCCACATTCACACACTTACTACAATCCTTTTTGTCTGTGGGACCTCGCCCTAAGGCAGTGCCAACCAGCCTTACTGCTGGAGACGTGCGCAAAAGGCAAAAGTCACAAAGCGTATCTGCGGGGCCTATGGTTGCCTCTTAAAAAAAAAAACAATTCCAAATTTGGACCATTCTTGGATCTTTCCTTGTCATCCTGTAGTTTCTCAGGGCTATGCTTATCTTTCCAGTATGCTGCACACGTGCACAAAAGACAAAACGTATCCATCTGGATCTTTTTTTTTTTCTTTTTCAATTCGGACCATTTCTTGATCTTTCAATGTCATCCTGTAGTTTCTCAGGGTTATGCTTATATTCCCTGTATTCGGCCATCTTCCGGCTGCATGTTCATTCTTTTTTTTTTTTTGAACAGTACGGGTAGAGACGAGCAGCCTCGTCGCTGGAGGCCCCAGTTCCGAACTTCAAGCCGCCATCCGTGCAGGTGGTGAGTGGTTGAGTGAAACCCCTTTTCGTAGTAGCGGTCGTGCATAGGGGAGAGCAAAAGAGAAAGGAAAAAAAAAAAGAAACGAACCACATGCCCAAAAGACAAAACATATGGTGGCGCATTATTCCATGTTCTGCAGAAGATTCATTCTAGTTTTGCACATTTGGTGAGTAGTGCAGCCAAACCTTGAGAATCACGTGCATAGACCAACACGGCCTTGCTACGTGAGCAACCCATAACTGCTGAAATACAGACCTGAATTCGAATCTTGAGTATATATTCGGCCAGCTTGTGCTTTACTTCATATTCACTCCCTGCCTTGATTTTGGTGGGGGGGTCTGCGCTACGTGGCTGCGAGGACCCTTCAGATAGCCTGCGTGGGCTATCTGCTGTCTCTTATACACATCTAGATGTGTATAAGAGACAGCGCGTGCTCCTCCCGGGGTCGCGTTCAATTTTTTCGTGCCACGTGGCGCGCAGCGCGTTTGAACGTGATTCAACGCGGCCCCGGGGGGTATGAGCACGCGCATTTGAACGTGAAAGTGCGTTCAGCGCGTTCACGCGGTTATATAGTCGGTAGAGCAGCCCGATTCGTTTCATCGTTATATTACTTTTTAGTTAGTTTTTTTTTTTTTTTCTTAATGTTTCCTTCGGGTAGTGGTGAACGATGAACTCGTGAGCGTGTTGACGCCTTCCCGGAGCGATTGGTGTTGGCATACACACATAAAACATGTTCTTGTAGTTCAATTTTCTTCGGGGAAGCTGAACCGGTGAAGGTTGGGGAAA